TCCATTTTTTCTGTTCTCTGCTCAATTCATTCCTGTATACTCTAATTTTTATTATCGACTTTTCTGTTTGCTTTTTGTCTAGTTTGCTTGCCTTATATTTCTTAAGATGGAGGATTAGACTATTGATTCGATATATTTTTTTCTTTTTTAACACAGGCATTTGCAGCTAAAAATTCCCCTCTAAACATGATGTGAGCTGCATCTCTTGCGTTTTTGTATGTTTGGGTTTTTTTGTTCATCTATTGTCTATTCTCTCTGTCTGTCCCAGTCTTCCTCCCAGAGCCCATCCTAACCAACTCTCACCACAGGACTTCCCATGTGTGTGAGTACCGGGTCTCCCTTTGTCCACACCAAAGGAGTACTCTCATGAGTTTCCACATAAGGTCCTCACTGTTGGCAGGAGCTGTTCCACATCAAGGGGAGTTCCAATAGCACACTCAATAACCAAGTTATGACCATTCTACTTCACAATTATCTCTACCCAAAGTGTACTCTTTTCTTTCTTAATATCATCACCATAGCCTAAGCCAGCATCCTCTTACTGCTGGATGATGCAGACTGCTGTGGCCACTTTTGTCTTTCTTTATTCAGTTCTCACACAGCAACCAGATTAAATTATTTAAATCCAAATACAACGCAACATTCCCATTCCTAAATTCCCCTGACAGCTTCCTCATGTACTTAGGCTCCAGACGAAAATCTAATATGAGCTTATTAGGTCTTCTCATCTAGACGCTTTCTTCCTTACTAGCCATGCCTTGTATATTGTTTTGACAATCTTGATTAGCTAATCTCCAGACACGGAACATCACTCTGTTCCTTAAGTATGTCATAACCTCTTCAGCCTTAACTGTTTCACTTTCTATTACTGTTATTTAGTAATAACATTACCTGTTTCCTAATTTTTAAAAAGCCTCTGAGATATCTTTTATCCGTTCCTTTCAACCATCTACCTTTACGTGTTTAATAAAGTGAGGATGCTAGATTTTCTAGAACAGTTCTAATTTATGCCTTTTTTTTCCCCAGTCCTAATGATTAATTTTAGATTAACGAATTATAGTGACCAGCATAGTGATCTCCATATCTCTGTTGATGTTAGTTTGTTTATTTGTTTTTTGTAACTGGCATCTAGAAGAGAATTATGTCTTTGTGACCACAAAGTATTTTTCTGGCCTCATGTGCCATCTTTCCAATACCCAACTGATTACCAAGTCACAGTGAACTAAATAATCTTCCTTAACTATGGTCTCTAGTTAGTCTACTGTCAACTTTTCATCATCCATACCCTTTTCCACCAGTGTCAGAAACAGAAAATCCTTCCTGGATGTCTTTCCCTTTGTGGTTTTGGGTTTGAGTCTACCAGTGAGAGGCACTGATTACAGATTTGGAAGGAGACGCCCTTACTATTCTAAAGTGCGGTTGTCCACAGATGCACAAAGGAGGGCTGGGCTTGGGGATTCTGCACAAATGGCTGAGCTGTGCTGTGGCTTCCTGGTGAGCTCCTGTGAATCCAGCAGCTTCCAGTAGCTGTTTTTGTGACCTTTGTTCTCGCGGCTCCAACAGTTGTGAGAATCTCTGACTTCTTTAATTGAAACCTATCCTATTTGTAGTGTCTCGAGTACACGCATACAAACAGTTTCGTGGTATCTGTGAAGACCTCACTAACATTTTGATTATAATTAAAAGTGGAAATTCTTATATCTCATCTCATTGGGTTCCTTATATATGTTACACACACACACACACACACACACACACACACACATCCATGACCTCTCAACAGTAAGATAAACTATATATAATCTCAAATTTAAATAATGAAGTGTTCAGAGTATAATTATGGCTCTAGTTATTCCCACAGTAATCAGAATCAAATGAAATGGGCACATATGACTTACTGGACCCCACTACTTACACAGGAGCTATAACATGTTATGGAAATGTGCAGACCACTTTTGTTAGTTTGATACCATCACAGTTAATAAACCAAGACCAAAAAGTATCATTTCTAGACAGTCCAAAGTCACTTAACAAAGGGAAAACTTCAACAGTGTGAAACGTCAAGACTGACCCTATGTCGTAGTCTATAAATGTAATGTCACCTAGAGTTAGGAAGTAAAGGTTAGAAATCTTTGGCTGAAATTTGGAACCCCCTCATATCTAAGGGATGAGTCTCAAGAACATTAGTAATCTCCCATGATGAAGTCCATTATGGGATACAGACTCTCTTAAACATTCTAGGCTCTGTTTAATCTATTTCTTTGCTAATTTCATTTCCAGAAATATGCATGCCCTTTATCTCTATGCTCATTTTTCATAAAACAAAGGGTTTTTGCAAAACACAAACTTTTCACAGGACTTACTGCATTCACACTGGTGAGTAATAGAAAAAAAACACAAAGTGGCATACAATGCACAATCAGAAATGTCCTCTGTCTAAACTCACTGTCACAACCTACCTTTCCATGTGGGCCATCAAAATTTATGTCTCAGTATAGTAAGCGACAGGTCAGTAGTAAGTGCTAATTTCACAAATCCTCAGGGCTTGCCGCATTCCAAAAGACCCTTTGCCCTCACAAAGTCTGCCTTCATCATCCCCATCTACCTTTGGGTGCTCCCCACACTAGTATAGTTGCACTTGACAGTCACTCAGGAAATCTGCAGTTTATCATTGCTATCTATCCTGGGTTCTTTATTTTTCTCAATCCTCTTTAGATGATCTGGGTTGATTTCTGGCTTCAGTCAATATTTTTTATTGCTGGTGTTATGTTGTGTTTATTTATTATTTAAATCCTATCAGTCAGTCAGGCATTTGCTACATGTCAGTCAGTGTGCATGAGGCACTGCGCACTGCTGCACCCTCTTTCCACCTCTGCAGGCTGCTCATAGCTTCAGTAAGTCTCTGACCTCTATGAGGATCACAGGACCTTCTAGTTCTCTCTTGCAACCTTGCCCAGCCTGTCACATACTTTAGATAACGGATAGATCTAGAGCTAACTTTTCATTCTCCAACACAAAGACACTGGCTATTTTTAAACATGAGCTATGCATCAGGCTCTGAAGATACTCCTGTGAAATAGTCTCAACTATTAAGAAATTAACGACAGAATGAAAGAGACAGACAATTAAACAGGCAAAAACACTCCAGCCTGATACATTTAGAGATAAGTACCAAGAATGCTATTAAACACCTAGAAGGGGCAACGACTATAGTCTTGGAATGTCTGGGATGTTTTTAATCACTACAGCACATATCAAATACACAATCATCACCAACGACATGTAATGAAATTGAAATTGAACTGAAATGTTGCTTGCGGATTCTACCTGCGGCTGTTAAGTCCATAAATTAAATTTACGAAAACTAGTTTGTTGAATGATATATGAGTTAATGTTTAAACTGGGCACACCTTCTCTAGCCCAGTGCTGAGGACTCTTCTTCACTGTTAAAACTTCTCTTCTTTGACACACATTAACTCATTGGGATGAAATAGGTTTTCTGGACTCTCCCACGTCACCCCAGCCATTGCATGCTATCTATTGAAGAGTAACCTTCTTAGAAGCAGAGCCTCACGTCTTTCAGATTGCTGTTCAGATTCAGATTGGACAAGTGATTTCAGTGGTGGGTATTTCTGGTCAAGGGAAGGCACTGATATGGACTGCAGCTGCAGGCAGCTTAGCCTCTCAATGTGAGCCTCTCAGGGGAGTATATGCGGCAGGTAATCACACCCCTCCACCTGGGACTAGATGCCCTTACATCCAAAAGAAGCAATCATATTTAAGGGGCTTATAGTTCGCAAAGTGCTTCCATTCTAGAATCTCTTTGGATCCTCACAATAGCCCTGAAGGTCAGATGAGGATACTTGTTCTGAACAACTAAATAAATTGACTGGGCCAGACCAATAGTGAGGGCAGAGCTTCCTGACGGCAGACCCCGGGCTCAGTCCATCCCCCTACAGTGCTTTCTGCTTTCAAGGCTTTGATGCTGTGAAGAAAAGCATACACCTCACAGTGACATTACTGTCTAAGAAGCAGATAGCTTGGCACAATGCCTTGAAAGAAATCAGACATATTTTTTAATAAAAACATCTACATTGCTATTCCTAATACAACTCTTTTTCCTTCTTGTTGATTCATCCCCAAGTTTTTGAAAAAATGAAATAGGCCATGAGCCAGAACAACTGACAAGATAAGCAAAAGTGTAGCAGGGTGTGGGAATGCTGTTTTCTATAACTTTGTCAGACAGAAAAAACAGTAATTCCGAAGAAGCTTCTTTGACTCCACTCCAAGAAAAATTGATACGAAAAGTATATGTTGTGCTGTTAAAAATGATCTCCATCTGTGGAGATGAAGCAGGCATTAAGCTCACAGTTATTCAGAAAATTGCTGGTGAGGCACTCGGGAGCGCTGAGCGGAGCCACTGCCGGCCAAATTCATGCCCATAGGATCCCTGAGCATTAGGTAGAGATGATAAGACCCTCTGCCTGTTTGAAGTGTGAGTTTCCCCAATTCCTCCTTTCCTAACTCAATTCTTATTACAATACTACTTCCTACTGACGCAGTAGCTGACATCCATAATCCCAGAACTTTGGAAGGTCAAGGTGGGGGAATCACTTGAGGCCAGGAGTTCGAGACTAGCCTGGCCACATGGCGAAACCCCGTTTCTACTAAAAATACAAAAATTAGCTGAGTGTAGTGACTGGTGCCTGTCATCTCAGCTACTCAGGACACTGAGGCACGAGAATCAATGAACCCAAGAGACAGAGGCTACAAGTGAGATGAGATTGTGCCACTGTACTCCAGCCAGGACAACTGAACAAGATTGTGTCTTTAAGAAACAAAAGTAAAAACAGGAAAAAAAAAAAAAAAGGCAATGCAACTCCCTGTATAGGTTCCTATTATTCTGATACTGTGCTGTAATTGTGTAGAGTTACTGGACAGGTATGTCTAGTTATTCCAAGGCATACAATAAGGACATGTTATTTGAGGAGAAAACAAACCTGCTCTCTGAGTGCTGTGATGGTTTCCTGAATTTCCGCTGCAAACTTGCTGAAATCCTGGGAGAACTTTGTTTTTGCCAGAACTGCCACATTTCTAGTATCTTCACCCACATACATTTTATCTTGTTGCCTGTTTATAACAAGAAGCAAATAAAATGCTGAAAAGTAAAAGTTGTGTGAGAATTTTAAAATATCATCAAATCTTCTTTGGTCATTTGGCATGAACAAGGCATTGTGATTGGTGTTCTGTGTGATCAGGAAAGGAAAACAGTGTGAGGAGGGTTCGAAATTAAAATTAAATGGCACATGAAATCGTAATCCAGAGTGTCACATCTACTTCACGTAATTTATCTAAAATGATAAGAAAGTATTTCTTATGACATAAAGGGAATGTCATGTTATATTAAGTATACATTTGATATATTATTTAGATCTTAAAGTATGTCTTTTGCTAATGAATTCCTCATTGCACTTTAAACGGTGAAAGAGCAGTGACAAATTTAATACAACATGTTATGTAGTAGCCAGGTAGGAAAGTTGCTTTCTCTATTATAAATTCATGGCAAGAACTAAAATAAGATAAGGATATTCTGAGTGACAAAAATCTAACTTTAAACCTGGTGCAAAATAGCATGGTCTTGTTGATAACGAAAGGTTATAAGGAAATCTTGGGTTGAATGAAGATATGTTTCTTAGAGTTTGCTGCGGTTTTCAAAAAACAGAAGCCAATAACTAGTTTGGGAAATAGAAATGAAAGTTCCTTCTATCTACAATTATGATGTATTGTTAAAATACTTTTAGATAGATTTGATTTATTAGGCGTGATATCTGTTTCAAGTTTTCAGGGCTTTTTTCCAAATGTAAAAAGTTGGTGTTGAACAATGAGAACACGTGGACTCAGGGAGAGGAGCATCACACATTGGGGACAGTTGTGGGTGTAGGGGAGAGACAGCGTGGGGTGGGAAGGGAGGGGAGCATGGGGAGAAACGCCAGATATAGTATGCACTTAAAGTGAAAAAAAAAAGTTGTTCCTTGTGAAGAAACTATTATACCTTTCAAAATCGTTCTACTTTATTCTATTTGAAATATGTCTTCCATTGTTTACTAAGAAAATGGCTTACCAGAAACAGTACATTCTATGAGCTTGTAAAACGATGTATAAATCAGAGACATGTTATAGAGCTTACAGCAATCGGGGAATTTAAAAAGGAGAAACATGGAACAATAACAAAGTTACGAACAGCAGTGGCTTAGTTACTGAATAACTCCATGACCTCTGAGACACTGTGAACACCGTGAATCAATATTGACGGCATGCGGGGTTCTATAGAGTACTGTGTTAAAATGGTTTAAATGTACAAGTGTTGTTAGGGATACCATTAATGCAAATGATTGGACCCTTTTATTTTCATAGTGCTCTCTCCTGTAAACCTTCAGTGTCTAATCAAAGGTATTTAATCCTGAAGAAGCCTGACTGGCAGTATGAAGATACAACCAAGTCAAAAGACCACATGTGGGCACATAGGGAAGCGGCTGATGGTGAGCCCAGATGTTGTGGAGTAGCACGATATGAACAATTTAACAAGTATGTGTGGGTATGTCCCAAACATCAGGCATTATGCTCAGGCAGACGGGTGCAGGGTGTGGAGGTGCTGCCAGTAGGTGCCTCACATTCTTTCAGAACAGAACAGTTGGCGAACAAACAAGACATCTAACATCTGCATTAGGAAGACAAATAAGAGGTACAACCTTGTACTTATAGGCAACGATACTACATGTTAAGCTTTACTGATGTACAACTGATACATACAAAAACACATATACTTAATGTATACATTTTGATGAGCTTGGACATGTGCATATATACCTGTGACACTACAGAGTAATAAATATACATATATTCACCACTTCCAAAAATTTCCTTATGTTTTTGCATGTGTGCATGTGATTTGTTTTGGTTTTTATTTGTTTTTATGATGACACTTAAGTATGAGAGCTATCTTCTCAACATCTTTGAAAGTGTACAGTACCGTATATCAACTACTAGCTTGTACAGCGAATCTCTGGAACTTACTCGTCTTGCATAAGTAAAACTCTTTACTCATTGAGCAACAGTTCTCCATTTCTTTCTCCTCCTAGCCCCTGGCAACCAACATCCCATTCTCTGCCTCTTTGAGTCCAACTATTTTAGATACCTCGTATAAATAGAATCATGTGATATCTTTCTTTTGTGACTGGGTCATTTCACTTAGCATAAAGTCCTCTAGAACTACAATGACATAGCACCTCATACCTGTCAGGATGACTATTATCAAGAAACAAAAGATAACAAATGTCAGTGAGGATTATATGTTGGTTGGTGGAAATGTGGAATGGTGTAGTCACTGAGGAAAACAGTATGGAGACTCCCCGAAAAACAACATGGAACTGCCATTTCCTCTAGCAATCCCACTTCTGGGTATATAGCCAAAGTAATTGAAATGACGATATCAAAGAGATGTCTGCACTCCCATGTGACTTGCAGCATTATTCACAATTGCTATGATATAGAAACAATCTAAGTGTCTATCAATGGATGGATGAACAAGACTGTATTGTACACTTACAAATGTGTTAAGAGGTATGATCTCATGTTAAGTGTTCTTATCCCAATAAAAAAATAAATTAATGAAGTAAAATAAAATATATCAAAGATAGGTTTTTACCCCTAAAAAAATTATATGTTATTTAAGAAGATTTGCAAAACGTAGTAAAGGATAAAAGTCATCAGTACTCAATTAAAAAATAGGGGCGGGATCACCTAGATTCATAAGAATAAACTTTAATGTAATTCTTTATATTTTTAGTTTATTATTTCATTTACAAATAGGTTTTTTCCATAGCAAAGGTAGCACATGTTATTTTAGAAAAAGTCATTAAGGCAGAAGTGCAGAAGAAAAAATACCACTTAAATTCATTGGGAAAATTAATTCTTTTATCTCAAAACTTACTTTGCATTGTTGATTTCTGATTGAAAAAAAAGATTAGAAAGCTCTGAAAAGCACATAATATGAAGACTAAAATCTCCGTAGTTTCAAACAAACATGAATGCATAAATGTATAAGAAGGCAATGTCTTGTGCCTGGGAGCAGAGCGGGAATGAGTCTGGGAAACCGTATAAAGAGAATCCCATGTCAGGCCCACATGGTTAGTGTCTGTTCTGCGCCAGGCAGGAGTCGAAGTGCCACTGTGCACTTTGTGTCATTTAACTGCCCAATAGTTCTGTGAGACACTTTAGCCTGTGCTTCCGGTGAGAATACTGCAGCTTAGAAAACTGTGAACATGTCCACGATAGACACAGCTGTTAAACTGCACAGCTGGGATGCAGATTAGGATTCCAAAAAAGAAAAAGAGCCTTGCTCTTAACCAGTACACAGTCTATTTTCCACCCATAGAGAGTGGTGGGTCATTTAAAGAATGATCAGATTTATATTTTAGACAAATTGGAAGGAGAGAAGAGAGGTAAGGAGCCAGGCAGGAAGGTTATTGCAAAAAATGAAAGACAAAAACCCAAGACACTGTGAATGTTGCTGTATTTCAGATGCTTACTGAAAACACAAAACTCAACATATTGCTTATAAGAAATGACTCTTGAATAGGGTGTTGAAAGGAAGGTTTAAATTTGTGACCAAGACAGAGAAAAGAAAGGATAGAGAGGAGAGGATGAGGACAAGAAAAACAGGCACAGAGAGAAAACAAAAAGTGAAATTACAACATCAGTTATTTGTGCATGTGGGTTGAGGGAATTCGACCTCCTCTGATCTAAACAACTATGGTACATTTAAGCACAACAGAAACAATCTATAAAGGATTACTAAAGCGTGTGTTGTTATAAAGCAAAACAAATCAGAGCTCTTTTTATCTTTTTATTGTCAGATTAATGACAAACTGAACTGCTAATGGTAAGGTGTGCCTTTGAGTACAAGTTTGATAAGATTGGCAGGGGCTAAAAACGAAATTAACCAATCTTCAGCTGAGGCAACATTTGGGCAGGGCTTCAACGGGGCCACCCAGAGTATTAAGTATTTAGAGAACAAGTTAATTTTATCTCAGAAACAAGCAAAATGAGTCTTTGCGGAGGGACCTGGGTGTGGCTGTAGGAAGGACAGAAGGTAGTAATGGGTGTTGTTATACAGGCCTGTGCTTGTGGACACCACTAGAAAGCCCAATCCCCATCACCGTCTGATAAAACAAGGGAAAAACACCTCAACTAAATCAATGGAAAAACATACGAAATGCTGAATAAAAGAGCCAAGAGAATGTTTCCCAACACTCAAATTATTTAAAAATGGTCCTCACTAAGACTCCAACTCCTGATCACTGTTCTAATCACCTTGCAGAGAGTAGCTCCAGAAACACATAAAATGTATTTCATTTCCTTACCTTGGTATTTACAGCTCTTCGCTCTTTGCTTCGACCTTCTTTTAGAACATTCTGGAAAAATGTCCTTCATTCCTCGTTATTGAACACAGTAGCTCATTCATTCATTCATTCAACCGGTTTGGGGTTTTTGTTTTTTTTAAGTCTATAGACAGAGTCTCGCTCTATCTCTCAGGATGTACAGTGCTGTGATCGTAATTCACGGCAGCCTCAAACTTCTGAGCTCAAGGCATTTTCCTGCCTCAGCCTCCCTATAGCACGGACTACTGGTATACGCTACCATGCCCAGCTAATTTTTTAATTTAAAAAAATGGAATCTCACTGTGTGACCCAGGCTGGTCTCAAACTCCTGGTCTCAGGCAATCCTCCCACCTCAGCTTCCCGAATATTTGGGACCAACTCATTTAGACACATGAGCCTTATCATTCTTCAAACACACCTCACTTCCCTTTGCTCCTGTTATTCTTTCAGACTGGGACTCCCCTAAATGCTTTCAAAATCCTAGCCTATCCTTCAAGATTCCTCATCTGTTTATCCTGTTGAGGGACCCCAGTCAGAATTAATCACCTCTTATTCTGCATGACTCACTCCATGACTGGATTTCACATCAGTGTTCACATGAGCACTTTCATAATATTTGTTCGATGCTTAAAAGAGTGTTTGGCATGCAGTGAACACTACGACAACCTGAGTCATTACCGAATGTGTATTACAGAATACCGTAAAATGCTAGCTTCTATATTAGCATCCAGTGCTTTACTTATGTATCCTCAAGTTAAAACAATAATCCTGTAAAGTAGTTATTACATACCCATTTTACAGCCGAGGAAATGGAGATTTGGAAATTTAATGTAACATGCATAGTTATGAAGCGGGAGAAATAGGATTTGGATCCACGTGCCTGACTCTAAAGCCTTCACCCTTCCTTTCCAACAACACTATCCCCTCTCCTCAGTTGCAAATCTTAGAGTACAGGGTCCATATATTGTTCAAGTTTACAGCTGTAATTGAAGAAATGGATGCCAAAAATGGACTTTGAATTTGACTGAATTATAGTACTTAGGAGGCAGCTATGGATGACAAAAATAGAACACGTGGTTCCTTGAAAAAACCTGCATCGCCTGTGGAGCTGTGAATTGCAACGCTTATTTTGGTAGCTTAGTTTCACAAGTATGTACAGACTCGTTATCCAATGAAAAGGAGCTACTGGACATATCTATGCACAAGGTGGTGTTTCTGCTTTCAGAAGCTTCCAAGTCAATGGTGAGGAGAAACTTTCTAAAGCAACACTTTGTACCAGGCTAATATATAAGCTTCACAAAAGAAGTCCTAAGGGATTTCAAAGGAATAAGACTGACGTTTCTCAGTTTTCTGAGAGTTCAAAAATATTCCATGTTGGTCACAAATCAAGCCTTCCTTGCCATATACTATTAATGAATTCAAATCAACTTAACATGAATTAACTTAATAAATGCTATTACCTTTTCCACAAACAATACGATGTTTCATATTTTCAAAAAGAATCTGAAAAATATCAATTCATAATGTAATTTAAGGAGTCAAAACTAGCATCTAATACATGCAGTTTTCAGCACTTTACTGAGAAAAATTCATTGCCAAATACGCTCTGGCTAGCATACTGCAGAGTGAAATAGAACCCAAACACGTTACAGAATTAATTGTGTTTGCTCCTTTTCATGTGATTCATCCTATATGTAAAAAAGTTAACTGTGGTCTCTCTTAAAAAAGTAACAAACAAATTGTAGGTTTCAAGTAAATCTATAGTAAGTTGGCTAAAGAAATGGAATATTTCTATACATACCTACTTCTTAGATGAGTCAACTCCGTATCTTTGTCATCAGGATAGCTGTATTGAGCTGAACGTTTCTTTTGAGATTCTTGTGTTACCGCTCTGAACTGTCCTCTACTCCTACAGTCTGTGGGGAAAGAAGTAACCACAATAACATCGTGTTAGATGGGGTGTCACAATCTCCTCTAGATGATTTCTTTAATGGCCAGAGAGGGCAAGAGTGCCAAGAAGAAAGAGCAGAGAGTAAGAGCAAGAGAGACCCATCTAGTCAGTTTCATTTTGCCGGGTGACAACAGTCTCAGATTCTTGCTTTTGCGTGTCACTGAAACCCTGTTTTGCAGCAAGTGGGATGCAAAGCAATCTGCAGAACCTCCGGAGCAGCCCCAGGAAGAGTGATGTTGAATCTTAGTAAGGGCATGGATTGCATGGCGTCTTTTATTCACTAAGGACTCAGCACAATGAAGAAAGAAGCAGGAGACCCCTGGGTGGAATGCTTGAAATTTGGGTACTCCTCAAAGTGTCTCAGCCATACCTGCTACCTACTAGAGATTTGTTTTTTAAGATGCCCTCCGTGGCACAACTGTACTGAGCCCTGAAAGTGGTTAAGATGGTAAGTTTTATGTTTTGTATTTTTATCAGAATCAAAAAGATATGAGAATATTATGAAAAGCTTTTTGCAAATAAATATGGAACTTTAAAAAGTAGCCTCTGATGTAGTATGGATATCCCTCTCAAAACTCCTGTTGAGATGTAATCCCCAGTGTTGGTGGAGGCTGGTAGGAGATATCTGGATGTGGGAGCGTTTCCCTCATGTCTTTGTGCTGTTCTCACCATAGCCAGTGAGTTCTCCGGAGATCTGTTGTGGGACCTCCCCCAACTCTCGTGCACCCGCGCATGTTACGTGTCCTGCCTCCTGCTCCCCTTTGCCTGAGCCATGAGTAAAAGCTCCCCGAAGCCTCCGGAGAGACTGAGCTCATAGCAGAGATGGGGTTTCAATATGTTGGCCAGGATGGTCTCGATCTCTTGACCTTGTGATTTGCCCGCCTCGGCCTCCCAAAGTGCTGGGATTATAGGAGTGAGCCACCATGCCAGGCCAAATGCTTTTCTTTATAAATTACCCAGTCTTGGGTATTTCTTTATAGCAATGCAAAAACTGCCTAATACATTCTCTAAAATTTCATATCAAAACAGATGATCTGGAAACTAAGATATTCTGAAAATGAAAAAGAACGATGTAGAAATCTACATTCCCAGATAGTAAAAGTACTATATATGAAGTTAAAAAATAAAAATTCTTAATATTGGTGGGAAAATACCTAAAAAAATAAAACAAGATAGCAACTTCAGAGCATCTTACCATGCAATCAAATTTAACACATTATATTAGGCAGCACAAATTATAAAATAGAGAGAGATTACTTTTGTTCTGGGCAACTAGCAAATTATTCCTTAAAGAAGAGAAAGTGAAAACGACTTACATCTTCACCTTATCATATGTTAATTAAGTTCAAGAGGAATATGATGTGAAAGATTATTAAGCAAATATGAATATGAAATTTAGGATGATTTTTAAAATGACACAACAAACTGCAAATGCTATAACAGCAAACAAGAGTACAACTTATAAATATGAACTCAATGATATTAAAACATACCAGAAATAAACTAAAATGAAAGCACCTCAAAATGTCAACAGTGACATGTCTAGAATACTGGTTATGGTTGCTATTTGTTTTCTTTTTTGTTCTCTACTTCTAACTTTTGCTTTCTTTTGTCCTTGTTTTCAATAAAAAGTCTTCATTTATAAAATTCAAAAACAGTTCATTGAAGAAAATCCAAGGTTTCTTGAAAGGTTTACAAGTTAATTATCATATTGCTGTCTATTACCATAATCGGATAAAAAATTTCTGGAGACCAGGTGCAGTGGCTCACCTCTACACTCCCAGCACTTTGGGAGACCAAAGCCAGTGGATCACTTGAGGTCACGAGTTCAACACCACCTGGCCAACATAGTGAAACCTCGTCTCTACTAAGAATGCAAAAATTAGCTCGACGTGGTGGTGCACACCTGTAACCCCAGCAACTCGGGAGGCTGAGGCAGGAGAATTGCTTGAACTTGGGAGGTGGAGGGTGGAGTGAGGTGAAATCGTGTCATTGCACTCCAGCCTGGGCAACAGAGCGAAACTCCATCTCAAAAAAAAAAAAAAAAAAAAATTCAGAACTTGTAAGTTTAACACAGAGACTAGGCCATTTCAAAGCCTGAGCCACTTTAATGGAGGAAGCGAGGAAGCCCTGGCATAGGTGGGAGATTTTGAACAATCTAGAAGCCACATGAAAATATTGAACTACTGGGAACAGAGAATTGTTCAGAAAGAGAGGAAGGATGGTGGCAATAGAAGCTGCCGTTGTCTGGACAGTTTTGCCAATGAACTGGTGGCAAAGGCGTCTACTGAAAATATTTCTATTACTACTTTATTTATTTATTTCATTTTTTAATTAATGTTCTTTTTTTTTCATTGTGCTTTAGGTTCTGGGGTACATGTGCAGATCATGTAAGATTGTTGTATATGTACATACACGGTAAAGTGGTTTGCTGCCTCCATCCCCCTGTCACCTGTATCTGGCATTTCTCCCCATGTTATCCCTCCCTAACCTCCTCATCCCTCACTGTCCCTCCCCCATTTCCCCCCCAACAGACCCCAGTGTGTGATGCTCCCCTCCCTATGTCCATGTGTCCTCATTGTTCAACACCCGCCTATGAGTGAGAACATGTGGTGTTTCATTTTCTGTTCTTGCATCCGTTTGCTGAGAATGATGGTTTAAAGATGCATCCATGTCTCTACAAAGGACAGGAACTCTTCATTTTTTATGGCTGCATAGTATTTCATGGTGTATATGTGCCACATTTTCCTTGTCCAGTCTATTATCAATGGGCATTTGAGTTGGTTCCAGGTCTTTGCTATCGTAAACAGTGTCTCAATGAACATACGTGTGCCTGTGTTTTTATAATAGAATGATTTACAATCCTTTGGGAATATACCCAGTAGTGAGATTGCTGGGTCAAATGGAATTTCTATTTCTAGATCCTTGAGGAATCACCATATTGTCTTCCACAATGGTTGAACTAATTTACCCTCCCACCAACAGTGTTAAGAGTGTTCCTATTTCTCCACAACCTCTCCAGCATCTGTTGTCTCCAGATGTTTTAATGATTGCCATTCTAATTGGAGGGAGATGGCTGATCTCAATGTGGTTTTGAGTTACATTTCTCTAATCACCAGCGATGAGGAGTATTTTTTCATATATTCATTGGTCTCATATATGTCTTCTTTTGAAAAGTGTCTGTTCATACCCTTCATCCAATTTTGAATGGGTTTGTTTGTTTTTCTCTTGTAAATCTGTTTCAGTTATTTGTAGATTCTGGGTATCAGCCTTTTGTCAGATGGGTGGATCGCAAAAATTTTTTCCCATTCTGTTGGTTGCCAGTTCACTCTAATGATTGGTTTTTTTTTT